GATAGTTCCGTAATAACAAACTAATAAAATCTAATCGGCCAAGGAAGTGGCCTTAATAACAAAAAAAAAAAAAAATATTATAATGATAAATTAATATTTTATATTATATTAAAAGAATCAACAATAAGTTTATTTCTTATAAATTATGAAAATGTATTTTTTTACACTATTTTTTTTTTAATAATTAGTATTTGATAAAAAAATTAATAAAAATATATTGTTAAATAGAATTTACAAATTATTGAAAGTGAGAATTCTAGTAATTAGGAAGATGATGATATACTTTTGAATAATTTAATAAATGATAATATACTTGTAGAAAATTCAGAAGATAAAGTTAAGGTATATTGAAATTAATTTTTATTACTATAGTATTACATAATTTTACAGATATCTATATCTGTGAAGTCATATTTATATTTAATTAATTATTTAATATATTTTATCTAATTTTTTTTTTAGTCTCAAGTAATATTTGCAAAATTTGGTTGAAATTTAACTGTAGATCAAGTTGATTATTATCTTGAATTTCAAGAATATCCAAAGACTTCTTTAACTGGTGTTGCTAGTATTTACAATGTCTCTAGTTGGAAATCTGAAAAGGCTAAAAAAGTATTTGGTCTATCTAATATTCAGTATGCTTATGGAGATCCTAGAAATATTCGATCAACTCAAATATGTCCATTTTTGGGAGTACCTTTTCAAAAAACTTATTGCTCATATCATAGTGTTAAAATATGTAAGTTTAGTTCAGCAACTCTTAATATAGAACATTCTTCAGTTAATTTTGAAGATCAGCTATATAAAAAAATCTTCAATGCAAATGAATTTTCTGTTATTACCTTTACTCTTAAGTAAGTAAATTATAATATTTAATTTAATTTGTTTATTATTTTATTTAATAAATTAAAATATTATTCTTATTTTAGTATATATGCTCAAGCTTATAATACACCATGTTCTTATATTGATCTAATTACTAATATTCACTGTAATGGAAATCCTGTACTTAAAGAATATAAATAGGTATATTATATTAATAATTATTTATTTTTATTAAATTAAAATTTTTTATTATATAAATTATTATAATAATATATAATATAATTTATTATTATTATAATTAAGATTGATAATACATTACCTATTCGAAAATTTATTAGATATCAAAACTATCAATTTGGTTAAAAAGGACATTGCTATATTTCAATTAGTCAGCAAATAAATATGGAATATTTTGAGCAACTATTTCAAAATTATACATATCATCCAAATAGAATTAGTAGAGAGGTATAATATTAATTAAATATTAATTTTTATTATTAATAGCTATAGTAATTTAATTTATTAATATTAATTTAATTATAGAATTGTGAAAATAAATTTATTAATAAATGCTATACAGTTGTTTCAAATTCTTCTACAACAAGTTATTGCTGTAAGTATAATTTGTAAAATTTTAAATTATTTTATTTGTAAAGTTAATTTATATTTATTATAAAATAGCACATCTTCATAAAACTAATACTCAAGTAATAAAAGGAAAGCTTATTAATAAAGGACAATGTCCTGTAAAATTTTATCATATATTACTAAATAATTTAAATGAATGTCCATTTATTGTAATAATTTCTATTAGCAATCATAATCATCCACTACCACCACCAACTAAAACTCCATATAATATAGTTGAAAATTTACAAAAAATTATTGAAAATAAATATGATTTAGATCTTATTGCATGAAAGTTTCTTACAAGTATATAATTTATTTTTATTATTTTATTTGTTTTTAAATTATTATAGTATATAATAAATTAATATTTTTATATTTTCATAGGACTAATGCTAAAAATATATCTTCAAAGAAAATCATTAAGTAGTCTTTATCCTTTATTAAATAATCAGTTACAGCTAAATTATTTAATTGAAAAGAATAAAAGATCTAAATATCCATTTGGTCAAGATATAATTGGTAAATATATTAGTTTAATTTTTTTTTTTTTTTTTTTTTTTTTTTTTTTTTATAATGCCAAAGTAGAAACTTTATTAATTGAAATTATAGAATTA